GCTAGTACATTTGCCATTTCGTTGCCGACTACTCCCGAGTGGCCTGATGTAAACCATACCTGTAGGGGAGTATTCGGTTCAAGCCTTATTACTATCCAATACAAGCTTAGATTTAACTTTATCAGTACATAACAATCTATTGATACCTGCATAACTATTGAATTAAGCTTTTAAGGAGAACGGTAGCTGGCTATTTTTGGCTAACAGTCTGATTGTCACTTAGTATTCTATGTAGAGTTTCTAAGAGGACGTAAATATTTGCGTCAAACTATTGGAGAACTAATCACATGAAATACAGGGCATACACGCGTGTAAATAATCATCAATCTGTTAGTGATGCGAAAAAATTTTATAATTTTTTTTCCTTTTGTATTCCTGCTGTTTCCAATATTATATAAAGTTGGACATTTTTGTGTTTTTTTATGTGTCAATAAACACACATTTTTATAAACTCATAAATGTACATTTGTGCCCCGTTACACAAGTGATTGTAATTTGTTTATCATTAAATTGAAAAATTTGTTAAATATTGTTTATTGTTGTCATTGTTTTCCACTATATAACCATAAATATTTACTAACAACTACAACAATAACATACATATTATATAATATAATGGTAGCGGTGGAAGTAGTAGTTGGTGAAACAAAATTAAAAAATATTATTAAATACCTGAAATAAAAACTACATTATAGATGTTTGTTTGTGTAGGTTTATAAAAACAATAAACATACTCTCATGTGTATTATATAATTACCCTGCAGTAGGTGGGACTAGTATTAGGTAGGAAAATGTGTAACTGAACTTTTATCTAAAACTTTGAATTGTCATTTATTTACTCACAGAAAAAACTAAAAATATGTTTCAATTATCAAAATAATTGTATCAAGCAAGTTTTGCACCTATCACCAAAATGATGATATCAGTTATCAAATTTGTAAAAAAAATAAAAAATACTTTTTTTTCCAAATAACGAATTAATCAGAACAATTAATATCAATAATTGAGACAAAATTTAAAATTGATTAATTCATTAATTGTATAAATTAAATATTTAATAAAAATAAAATCTAATTTTTATTAATTTATTAATCAAATGAATTAGTTTGTTTGGTAGAAAATGTATTAAAAACCAATTAAGTTGATGATTAAAACAATCAAATTATTAACTGATTACTCACAATGTAAAAGGAATGCTTGACCTTTAACAATGCTTTGAGCATTTACAAAAAATATCACTTTATTATCAAATTTGAACATATTAAGTGTTTTATAAAATGTCAGGAAACTTGAATATTATATGCCTAAAATCGTATTGACTATTTAAGAATTATAAACATTGTTAGCATAAGAAATCAAAATAAAATATTTAAAAAAAGTTAAAATAGAAAAGTTGGCCAGAAAATTTTTTCAATCAAATAAAAAACTAATTGAATCAATTAAAAATTTAATCAAATTTGTAAACTTAGGTTTTAAACAACGAGATAATTAAGACAAATAAAAAATTGCTTAAATTAAAACTAAAGAAAGAGAAAAACGTGTTAATTGAAAATAAACTACTGATAATTTTTTCTGTGCTATTTAAATCACAGTTCATTTTCTTTTATTTATTTATTTAAACGTTTAATTTTTTTTATTCTAAACTAGCAATTTTATAAGCGAAAGTTAATGCAGAGAAGAGTTAAAGTTTTAAAATTGCAGGGACCTTGATGTATTTGTCATATACATACATGTATACTTACAAACTCATACATATATACAAACCTTTTTTTTACTTTTTTCTTGTTGTTTTAACTAATTAAAACACACATATACCCATAGAAGAACATATATGCATACTGAGTAAATTTGTTTTCATTTAATGACGTTGTGATTTTTTAATTTTTATTATTTTTTATTTATTCATTTATTTTTTTTTTGTTTTTATTTATTTTTTTTATTAATTAAATACATTTTAATTAAATTTTCATTATTTTATAATTTTTATTTTATTAAATTTTGATCAAATTTGTGTTTTTTTTTTGTATTTTGTTTATTTTTTCGACAGCATGGAAAGAAAAGGATATTTGATCAATAATTTTTCATATTAATTATTATTTTTTTCTTTTTTGTTGTTGTTGGTATTTCACAAATACATACAATACATTTAGATAATGACAATAATGAGATGAGTTGAAATAAGTTGAGTTTTGTATTGAAATGGCTGGATGTGTGAGTAAAAGGACATTAAAAGTGCTAGATTTTTAAGGAAATTGTGTTTTTATTTATTTGCTTTTGGTTTTTTTTAGTTTGCTTAAGTTTAGTTTAGTGAAATGGAGGGGTCGGGAGAGACTTAATATATAATAGGATTTTGTGGTTTTTTGTTTAGTTTAGCTAATTTGAAATATAGTTTAGTGGTTTTATGTAGATGACAAACTACAAATATTGCATGTGTTAGTTTAAGGAAATAAAAATAAACTTAAATTGTGTTAATTGTAAAAATATTTCAAAAAATATATTTTTTGTGTGTGTGTTTTTTTTAAATAAATTTAGTTTGATTTGAGAGATTTAGAGCATTTTATTGGATAACTTTTTTTTGAATTTTAATCAACCACTGAGGTAATACTGGAAAAGATAAAGTTTTTAGTTATCCCGCGTATTGCACGAGTTAGTCATACTTTTTGACAATCGTTATCCAAATGTCCCCAGGTGAGAACGCCCGACCCCCCGAGGCATGTTACCTTGATGAATAACCCCATCTTGGTTGGTTTGCAAGCCCGGGGAAAAGAGGTGCTACCAGTATCTCTAGTCTGCCGGGTCTATAAACTAGTCGTGATCAAATGTATCCTCAACCTTTTCATTAGAATAATTTGACATGGGGTCGAACCAGAGAACTACATAATCTGGTGCCAGGGGAACCGGTAGCTTTCAGGTCAGAGTTTGGCACTTTGTCTCGTCGTCGTTATTGGAGAGGTCTATTCGGGGTGCACTTGGTGGCTGTGGTTTAAACCCAAATTCGCGGGAAGAGAATGTCGGTTAAAAGACTGATGCACGGTGAATTCGTGATAAGTGCGTTGCTGTTTTCGAAGTCAACAGAAGAGTGAATGTGAGACTAATCGTTGGAAATGAGTTGGTGTTAATGCATTGATACAGTGAGTGTGTCGAATGTTGTTCTCTATAAGTGTGTCCAATGAATGAGATGTGTGCTCGGTTGAATATTGATAAATGAGAGGTGTCTTAACAAACGTCCTGGGCTTATTTGATGGAATCGTGTTTTGGTCTGTCGAATAATTCTCCAGGTGCTGTTTCTTCTAGGTGTTATAAACGGTGCGTGTTATAAACGGAAGTGATGTTTTTCCATCTCGGAAGTTAAGCAATGTCATAGCAATAATCAGAAATTAAATAGCTCGAGTAGTTGAACAAAGTGCCTGGACATTGACCGGCAGAACCATGTACAAAAACCGGTCAGCGGCATGTAATAAACACAAAGGGGCGGTGCGGAGTCGTCTAGTCAGCTCACCCAGTGGTTGGAGAAATACCACCCTGAAATAAGGCCAACACGACGGCAGACAAAGTGCTTTATTACGCTATCAAGGAGAAAATCCCAAAATTTGCTATCGCTTAACAAAAGAGATCTCAGAATACTAACGGAAGTACTCACGGGACACTGTGGTCTCAAATATCATCAATTCATCCTAGGAAACACCAAATCGAAGCTAAGCAGATTTTGTGGCTGCCAGGAGGTAACCGCTGAACATATATTGTCCTACACTAAGGACTCGCCGAGAAAGAAACTTAGGTGCTGCATAACTAGCCCCGAAGGATATATTCAACCTCTCACCAATCAAACCCGTTATTTTCATACGTGATTTAAACCTGTTATGGTGAACCTACGGGCCGCACAAAAGATCCAAAACAGGGTCGCAGTGCTAAGGGTCCTCTCAAATCTAATCTAAGGCCAACACAACAGGTGTTCACGTAAAGCACTTCGATATCTTGTCACTATACAGTCGCCAAGGAAACTTTAGAGTAGATATTTGAAACTTGTCTTTAGGTTGTAGTATTTCTACAAGACAAATGAACGACGTTACGTCTTTTCGCTATCTTGGTAGCATCATTACCAATCAAGCTTTTGATATTTGATAAACGCAATATGGAGATCAACCATAATTTTTCTGAACACAAGAATAAAATTATTTAACACCTGTGTCGAATCCATACTCTTGAGACTTGGAACACATTTCCAGGAGATCTACATGCAGTGCAGGTCTTTGTAAACCGATACTTGCGACGGATTTTACGCATATTCTGGCCTGCGGTAATATCAAATGAGAAGCTAAGGCGCAGGACAAATCAAATCTCAATGCGGTCTTAGCTGGAGGGAGATAAAACAAAAAGCATTCAATAGATCTGAATGGAAACAATTTGTGGTTTCGTTTGTTTCTCATAAGAACCATAGGACATAATAATAATAATTTCTACAACAAATTTTCCGACCCAATAAAGAACCCCAAATATCTTCAGGATCCATTTATTGATATTAAACATGCCAGCCCTTAAGCGTTTTAGTTAGAAATTATTTTGTTAGCTCGCTTTAAATTCATTTATATCAATCCAAAAATTTTGCAAAGAATACATTTAAAAGAGCTTTATTATTATGATTCATTAGAAAACATTATATAAAATAAATTAAATTTTTCTTAGAAATCTCATCAAAAGTCAACCCCAATACTCTAAATGCTCTTGTTTTTGTAGTTTGTCGTCTATTAAATAAATTGTAAAATATCTCTTGAATATATACATAGTTTTTGTTGTTGTTGTTTCAAATAGCAGTTTTTATATGTAATTTGTGTTGTTTCTTTGTAAGTATTTATTTCTTTTTAAATTTAATAATATCTGAGATTTTTGTTGTTTGTTTGTTTATTATTTCTTCTTAAATAATTTGATTTAATAAATAATTACATTAAATTTGTTTTAAAATAAATTAAAAAAAAAAATTAAAAAAACAATACCATCACATTTAACAGTTTTTTTATATTAAAATTTTATTTATCTCTTTTTCTATTTGTTGTTGCAGGTTAAATTTTATGGAAACCCAAAGTGAGTAAAAATATATTTTTACCAGTTTTTTCTTTTGTTCTTCATTGAAAATGCATTTATTTGCTTGTAAATTTACTTGAATTTAAATTTTCTTAAGGACAACATTAACATTTATACGTTTTTTTTTTACACTTACATACATACAAACAGTTTTAGATACACGCATACAGAAAAAGGAATAATATAGATATTTTTGATATTTACATTTACATATATAAAATTTAGTTAAGGAATACTATAGTGAGAGAGTGAGACTAAAAGATTTTAGAGAGAAAGGGAGGAGGGCGGTTTTAGTTTACATGAAAACAAAACATACACACATACATACATATGTATGTATATGCATTTGTTTTCTTATTTTTTTGTTTTATTTTAATTTGTTTTTCACATTTTTACACATTTTCATAGAATTTTTTTTTTACTGAAAAAAAGTTTTCTATTTGTTTTTCTAGTTTTTGTTAGTAGTAATTGTAACTATTATTAGTATTAGTAGGAGTGTTAGTTGTTGTTTTTTATTATGTAGTAGTTATAAGTTTTACATCTGTATTTTTTAGTTTTTATTTTTAAGTTTTAATCAATGGTTTAACAATCACAATTTGTTTATGCAGCAGTAGTGTTGTTTTTTTTTTGTTTGTTTCTATCTTCTTCTTTTATTTCCTATTCACACTACTACTAACATATTAAATAATTTATATACACAATTATACACAAATAAACTTACTTTACTTTTACACAGATTTATAGAGAAAAACATTACACATACAATAATACATAGAAATACCAAATTGCTGAAAACAACATTTTAAACAAAAGACATTTACGAGACCGATTTTTATTTGAGAGTCAACTAAGAGACATTGAAATGGAAATAAAATCTAAAAAAAAGAAAAAGAACATACAAGACCAAGACAACCAACAACCATTGACTGACTGACACTGATTAAGAGTTTTAACATTTTAGATTACTTTACTACATAGTAGTGTATTTGAGTTTTAGGTTTTCTTATTAAAATAGCACAGTGGGACGAAGATTATTTTGCGGTTGATGTTGATCTTTATACTTAAGACCTTCACCGACAGTGAGGAATGTAGAAAAAAAGGAAAATAATCGTCTATATCTAAACAGTAAGTCTGATATTATTGATCTTTCTTTTAAAAACTCAACATATTTAAACAGTTTTATCGAAGAGCTTTTAATTGCAGTACAGAAATGAAAGCAGTGAAATATGTTTCTGTGGTTTGTTTTACCGAATTTACGACCTCTTTGTTATGCTATAAGCTTCTCTTAAAGTTTACTCCTCTTATTAGGCCCCCTCAAACGGTTTGTTATTATTAAATCTCTGAAATAAGTGTGTATAAAAATTAAATCCGGTATAAATGATTTCTTGTCAAAAATTTGGTATAGGTCTATCCATAAAGCTTTCCTCCAATATCACTCTAGCGCACAGTGAGTGAATCTTTAATTTCTAGAAAGTTTTGAGTTTAAGTTCTGAATCTGTAATTTCTAGAAAGTTTTGAGTTTAAATTCTGAATTTGGACCACATTAATCCACCGAAGGCAGGTCCTGAAGTTCTCAAGTCGGGAAACCTGAGATATGTTAAAATTGATTGCAATTTTTAATTTCTGATCCTTATTATAAAGCTTATTTGGACAAAATTTCGAAGAAATTTTAATTCTAGTTGAAATTAGACCCATAAAAACCTTTCTTATTAACTTGCGTTTTTGGTTAATTTCACCGGATGTACGCTGAAAAATGTATTAAAATTAATAAAACAAAATGGTTCCTGAGCTTTCAAGTATGGAAACTGAAACATAAATAAAAAAACGTTCTTCTTACTTTTTAAAACATTTTGAACATTGGCGAGAAAGTGTCGCTTAGACCAACCTATTACTTTCCCACTAAAAAGCTTTTTCCACATTTTTGTTTCTAATCTCTTTTCGAAGGGTTACTATATCTGAGCAAGATTTTTGAGGAGCTTTTAATCCCTGTAGAAAATATTACGGAATTTGAACCAGCGGAACTTTTTTTTTAATTTTCGCTTAGGTTTATTTTACAGGATTCATGCCATTTTGGTAAGCTTTAAGCTCTTTTTATAATTGACCAAAATTGCAGCAAAACAAAAAGTGTTCTGAAATAACTAAATCACAGCTTTTAGCATGGAAACTTCATTAGCAGGGCAAACAGTTCAACAGTTGGTGCTATCTAAAGTTCTTCTTATTTTTAAAACATTCAAGTAATTATTGAGAAAGTCTCGGCTAGACACAACTAATACATTTAAAATAAAAACTTTTTCAATATTTACCAAGAAGAGCTTTCCAAAATACTCAGTAAGAGAGACCTATTACTACAACACTAAAAAGCTTTTTCACATTAACCAAAAAAAGCTTTTACATTTTTTATAAAGGCGAAACATCGAAATATTACTTTTTTTATAAGAAAAGCTTTTTTATAAAACAATTTCGTTAAGAAAAGCTTTTAAATTTATTCTAAGCATTCTACTTTTCATTTTTACAGTCCAAAAAAGCTTTCAAGTTTAATTTTTCGAATATGTTTCATAAAAACGAAACTTGTTTTGTTTAAAAAAGCTTTTTTAAAAACACGAACTTTAGAAAAGCTTTCTAATATTCATTTTACAACTTACGGCCCACCGTGCTTTCTTAATTTTTTTAAATGTATTTTTAAAACCTTATTGATAATTGTGTGTTTTTGTTGGTTTTTTTGTAAGTGTTTTTCTTAAGAAAGAGCAAAAAGTGTCTTGAATTATTTATTTGTGTTTTATTTTTTCTTTTTTTTTTTTTTTGACTAGTATTTAAATACTTAAGTAATAAGTATGTTACGAGTATGAGTACAAGTACAAGTAGTAAATGGATTTTCTATTTATATAACATTTAAAATCATTTCAAATTGTTTTCAATTTTCAATTGTTTAACTAACCTAAATTGTATATAGATATTTAGTTGTTGTTGTTGCTGTTTTAAAATCAATAATTTTCTTTGTTAATTTTTTGTTTTTAAATTTAGTTTATTTTTGTAATAATTAGTCTTAATTCTTGCAAGTGTTTTTCTTTAGTTATTAAATAATTTATTTCTTTTTTTTTAATTTCATTATTTTTATGATGAAATAAATTAATTCTGAAAATTTGTCTTTTCATTTGACTATAATTAAAAATGTTTTATAATTTATATTTTATTTCATACAATAACAATCATAATATCATTTTCATTTTTCTTAATTTTTAATAAATATTTATTTACATATTCTAACTATTAAAATTAATGTTCATACCGTAGATTACCTCAAAAAATGCTACCATTTGAAAAATTAGGGTCGATTTTTTCCAAAATATTTCGTTTTAAAGTGACCGTTTCTCTGTCTTAAATTAAAGGTTTTGCACCATTTCAGAGCTTGAGTCCAACTTATTTGAGTGTAACTTCAAAATATATCAACCTTAATTTTGAATGAGAAAATTTGTATTCCCTACTATCTGAGGCTCTCTATCTTCTATATATTTTTATTATAATTATTTTATTTTAATTTTTTAATGTTCACTTTCTTTTTGTTTTGTTTAAGTTCTATAAAATAAGGACTTTTAAATATTCAGGTCCTTTTTTTTGATAAAAGAAAACAACAATAAATTTAATATTCCCCCCATCATTTGTTCATTTCAAACTTTCAAAGTTTGTAGTGATTTTTTTCTGTCTTTATTGATGTAAATTTGTTGAGTTTTTTTGTCTATGATTGAAATAAAAACTAAACTAAAAGTAAAATGATTTATATGTACATACTTAAATCTTCATAAAAATCCTGTAAATATGCAATTAGTTGTGGAAAGGACGGTCGTTGCTTGGGATCCACCAGCCAACAGCAGGACATGACGGTAAAACTAGTATATAGAGAAAAATATAGAAAAAAATTTTGAAATATTATTAACTCATGGGTGAGCATTAATAAATTGGCATATTTTAATAGTTTTTTAAAAAAATTGGTTACAAAAAATTAAGAAATTTTAAAAAGTTTAATAAAAGTTCAATTAACAAAAGAAACATTCTAATTAACTTTGCAATTCATTGTAAATTGTTAAATATTTAAATGTGAGAATAAAAAATTATTGGAAAAATTTAATTTCTTTTTAAAACATCTGAACTTACAATTCATCCGGACAATTGATGGGTTGTGATAAACGAAAACCATCCGAGAGATATGGAGTCAATTCAAATATGTCCACCTCCTCAAAAGGCGTCATAGCCAGTGTAGCCAATTCCCAAAATAAAACACCCAAACTCCAAATATCCGAATATTGATTGTAGAAATTTTTCTGCTGCAGTGACTCTAAAGCCATCCATTTTAAAGGCCGATTTTCGTTGTCACACAAACAGTGATAGTCGTCTGGGAAGAGGTCACGTGACAGGGCATTATCACATATTTTAACATAGGAATCAGAATCCAAACTAGAGAGGAAGGGAAAGAAGATTGATTGAAATATTTTTAAAGCTTTTTTCAACAAATATCTTTCGGAAAATTGTTGTTTAATAATAATAATTTGACATTTGTTTTGTGAAAAGCTTTTTTGTGCTAATAAAGTTTTTGCACAAATACAATTCATTTCTTCAAAAAAGGCTTTTTTAAAAAACCTGTTTTGCAAAGAAAAGCTTTCTGTGAGAAGTTTTTCATAAACAAATATTGATTTCTTTAAAAACGGTTTTCTCACAAAATGGATTTTGCAGAAAAAGTTTTCTCATAAAAAGCTTTTTATAAAAAGGAAAGTTGGTACAAATTTTTTAGAGAAAAATTAATTTGAAATTAAAAAATTAACTTTTGAAATTGAAAAATTAAATTTTTGTTAGAAAAAACTTTTGGTATAAAAATTACTTTTTGTTTTCTTTTAAAATACTTTTTCGTGAAAATGTTTCTTAAGAAAGTTTCTCAGTAAAGAGCTTTCTAAAAAATCTCTTTTTGGAAACACTTTTTGTTAAAAAAAACTTTTTGATAGAAATTACTGTTTTAAAACACTTTTTTGTGGAAACGTTTCTTAAGAAAGCTTTCTTTGCAAAGAGCTTTCTGGAAAAAGCTCTTTTTGAAAACTATTTGGTGAAAAGATCAATTTTAAACGAAAAAAATAACTTTCTGTAAAGATTTTTGACTTTTCGATGAAAAATCAAATTTTTTGTAGAAATAAAATTTTTTTATAAAAATAATTTTTTTTTACAATAAAATTTTTTATAAAAATAAAATTTTTTATAAAAATATTTTATAAATCTAACATTTATTGTAAAAATAATTTTTTTTAAAAAATGTTAAATTTTTGGGAAAAATCTATTTTTTTTAATGAAAATTTTTTTTTTTGAAAGACGTAAAAAAGCTTTTGATGATATTTTGGTTATGTTTAGAGCTTTTTTTGTTAATTTTCTGAAGTGGATAAATGGTGTAAAATTTAATACTTACTAGCAATTCCTGGTGGCCACATCTTTGTGAATTATACCCACTGAGTGTAAATGAGCTAGACCTTTGGTAACATGCAGGCCAAACTCCACTAGTTGTCGGGTGCTTAAAGAAGCATTCATTTCACGGGACTTTTGTAAGAAACTGAAATCAATAATACAAAATCTAATTAAAAACTGAACGAAAAATTTATAATTTTGTCTAAAATTTCTTTAAAAATTTTCCATATTAAATAAATAGTTTTCAAGTTCAACAATAACTTACATTTTTAAATTCCCTTTCGAGGGATAAGGATATGCGATTTCCGGTGGTCCCGGCAACTCTGTATTGGCCAGCATAGGTGCCATAACATTCTGATGGCCAATGCCAATTAGCATTGAAGCATCTTGCAGTAAACAGGCCACTTGTGTTAGCGAAGCTCCATCCACTACGGTTTTTATGAGAACATCACATGAATCACCCAATTTACCAGCATATATACGACCATAAGTGCCTTCTTTTATCAGTTGTTCACATTCCAAAGTACCTGGTTGGACATTGGGTATACGACGCATTTTTTCCTTGGGATCTCCACTACTGCCACCCGCTGTACTGGCTCCTCCAAAGATACTGCCATTACCTCGACTGGACTTGGGTGTAGACATGCTATAGACCTAAAAATACACACAAACACACACATAATTTAAACACAAAATATTAACATCATGATAAAATGAAGTGATATTGGCCACAATAATCTAAATACCATTTTTATTTACCCTTGACATTTAATTTGAAATGAAGAGTTAATCTCTGGAATAAATCTATGTGGTGGCATAAAATATAATAAAAAAATTTAGACACAAAAGCTTGAGTAACTGCTTCAGGGTGGGTTGGGGATGTTAGTGTGTGACAGTAGTCCATAAAATAAAGATCTACTCTCTCATGGTTATAGAGTTAAAATAACCACTTCAATATATTAACTCATAAATCTTGTTTTGGTCATTGTTGTTTTTGGTATTAACCACAAATACGGTATGGGAGTAGGGAATACTCTGATACAACTGGACACACAAACACTTACTCACTCTCTCCTTTCCAGTTCAAATACATTGACAAAAATAGTTGGTAGGTTGCTGGCTTCGGTTCGTTTGGTTGTTCTATGTGCCACAAAATGTTAAACGGAAGCAATAAAAACTACCCAAAAAAAAAGAAGGATACACAACCAACAATTATAATAAAGAATGATGGCGATGACGTACAAAATGATAATGAAGTTGATGCTAAAGCTGACAATAATGATGTTGACCAACTTAAGTTGACGAGTGGTAAGAAATATCATTTATGTCTGATATCGTCGTCATCAACATCATTATCATCATCTATATCATCACTAACAGCAACAACCGAAAATCGGCAACATGACTATAATCATTATTTTCAACACCATTCAGTTTAAGTCATCGCTTTTTATTGTAATCGACCTCATTCCCCTTTTTCATTCTCTTCAGCGCCAGCACCAACAGCAACATTACCGTTGTTGTTATTGTTATCCTTGCCTTCGTTTTCTTAACAATGTGCAATAGTAGTTGTTGCTATAGTTGTTGCTGTTGTTTTTTTCATTTGCGATTAAAAAGTACACGACCACAATATGGACAATTTATTTGTGTTGTGCCACAAATTACTCAACATTCCCACCCGCCTGTTATGTTGACTTTAGTTGTTACAAAAATAATAACAATTGCTTGAAGCCAGCCAGCGAATCAGGCAACAACAACAACTACTAGTCCCTCAAACTTTATCCAACAAATGAGACAGACAGAAAGTAAACGTAGTAGCCGCCATACAGCCAAACTGCCAGTTAAAGCAACATCAGCAGCAGCTCAACATCCTCATCACAACAGTAAGAGGACAATGACAATGAAATAAAAATCATTTATTGTTGGTTCGTACTACATACAAAAGCATCAAAAACAGGACCCAAAACGAACGTAGACTAAATAATAATATAAATACCAAAAAACAAAAGCAACAACATTACCGGCAGCAAAGAAAACAGAAAACCGATTAGAGCAGAGTTGAGTTGAAAATAAAAGAAACAAAGCTACAATAAAAGCAACAAAAAAAAAACATATTGAATGGAAGGAACCTACAAACTTAACCAACTATACAGTTGTGAATTGAGACAGACAAATGAAAATCTGTAACCCACACGCACTCCATTCATTCACTCACTTACCCAGTCGCTTGCAAATTATAGTAATTCGAATAAAAAATAATAAAAATAACGTTTACGGCCACTGCTGCCGTTACAAATAAAAAGGGGCCTGTAAGCAATAACTTTATCAAAGATAACTATCTACTATATACGAGGGTTTAGTGATAAGTTTCCTAGAGTTTAATTGAATAAAGTGGGATGTAATTGAATTAATATCATTATTTTGAAAAGGTTACAAGTCAATTATTTAAAAATGTTAATTCTAACCTATACATGTTACTTTTGGAAGAACTATTATTGAAGATCTAATATGAAGATTAGTTCCTATAATAAGCCGATATTCTTAGAGTGAATTATTATTAGTTTTCTCTTTAGGAAATCAAGACAGTTATAAACGGAACTCTACAATAGTAGGGTACTCTTTATGTTATCAAGTATAACTAATTACATAGAGGGAAAAAGAAATATGCCAAATTGACATCAAAGAGTTTATAATTTTTCAATAACATCCGTTGTCAAAGTATATACATATGTACGACAACACTATGTAGTGTTCACAACGCAACGTTGTCAACAAACGTGGTAAGCTCACTATTGCTCACTAACGGATTGTTTGTCAATAGTGAGCTTACCACGTTTGTTAACATTTAGACAACGGATGTTATAAAATTTAGATTTCGACAACGAATTGTTGCAATGTTATCAACATTACATAGTGTTGTCGTACGTATGTATATACTTTGACAACGGATATTATTGAAAAATGATAAACAGTTTGGTATCAATTTGGTACCAGGCGTGTATATTTGTTTTTTCCTCTGTGTAGTTAAAACTTTTCTGCACTTTTTGCTGGAATGTTTTTAATTCTCAAATCAATTTCAAATCGAGCTCAAATCAAGCTCATTTTTGAATTAATACAATATGTTGCGTTCTTAAATCAATCTTATTATACCATACACTGATGCTGATGTATGTAATGCATAGATACATATATTGGCCATAGTGTACCAATCGGCTCAGAATCATTTTCTGGATCAATTTAGCGATGTCCGTCTGTCTTACCGTCAATGTAAACCTTGTAATCAAACTACAGGTGACAATTTTCCTGCTAATTTAATGAAATTTGGCACAAACATTCCAAGGACGAAGCCTTTTGAAAATAGTAAATACTATTTCACCTAGGCCCCATATAACCATAACCCACAAATAGGGCTTTTGAAATCGTAATTGTGTTAAACATTTTAGCATCTCCTCAAAAATCGGCAAAATTTTATTTTATATAATTCTAATTGATACTGCTGATTTTCGTAACGATCGGGCCTTAGCCCCCATACAAAGTACCCTTCAGAAAATTACTTGAAAGTCAAAAAGTTCATATATAAACAAATAAATGTATTCGTAAATCCCTCTATCAAAATCAGTAATGATAGGCCCTTGCCATATAACCTCTCTTTATTTTGACCAAATATAATTAGGTTAGTTTGTAGACCAGTCAACAGAATAATCGAAAGATTAGAACATACATAGATCAATAGACCACACCATATACTAGTCAAAAGAATAGACCTATTTAGTTTATATACAAATCCATAGTTTATAATAATCCATATATTTACTAGACAATAGACTAGTCAGTATTTTAGACGATAGACTGGACAATAGACTAGTCTATATCCTAGTCAAAAAACTAAACCATGCACTAGTCAAGAGACTAGTCCAAAGACACTATGATATGGGCTAGTCTGTTGTCCAGTCTATCGTCTAAAATACGGACAAGTCTAAGAATTAGTCTATTAACTTTGTTTCGAAAAGTACATACCATTTCCAATGCCCTTACGCAAGTATGACTATTGTGTGTTCTTAGTTTGGTCTGTTGTTGATATTTTACTCCTAGAAGATGTGGCAATATTGTGGTATGCTACGGATTGTTACATATTGCTTTTATAATATTGTTTTGTTATTGTTGTAGTTTGCTGTTTGTGATAGTTATTGTTGCAAATTTTAACAATACCCAAACTATTTCTACATGAATTTGTTTGCATCTGTGCTTGAGTATGGGCGCACTACAAACAAAAGGCTTTGCTGGAATTATACATATCAGACATTATTATACCTCCGCACTTTTCAGCCATCTTCTCGTCATCATCATCAACCAATACTTCTCTACAGATCCCACTCATTTAACCATCTTACAATCTACGAGTCTATGATGAGTGCTCTTGTTGTTGTTGCTGTAGCTTTTGCTATTGCTATTGTTGTTGTTGGTTTTTATCTTTATCACAATTTATAGTTGGTGAAATGAAGAAAATTTCAATTAAAATGAAACAATACACAACAACCAACGGCATCTTTTGTTCATTTTAATACAAAAGGGGGCGCTAACGCCGCAGCATACACTCACTTACACTCTACACTCTACACTCCAGCAATAGCAACGCACTCACCAGAGAATAGTATAGCAACAGTCAAAAAACGGAAAAAAGTAAAAAAATAGGAATCGTAGCAATTGGTGATAAATCTTTGTCACCAAATAAATGCCAAACAAGCAGAGCAGCAGAGTGTGCGAGGACCCAACAACAACAACACAATATAGAAAATAAACGCGTTGTTTTTATTGTAGCTGCTGGTGCTTTTGTTGCTGACTTTTATGGTAAAATAATAGATAGAAAATTCCAAAGAGCAAAAACAAAGCAACAAAATAAATAAATTGAAATTGGAAGCCTTTCCCTAGTGGTGTTTTCATTTAGCACACGGTCGGGAGTGTAATTAAAACTTTTGACTAACGATGATGATGCTGATGATGATAACCCGAATAACACTAACAAATAATAAAAACAACGACAAACAGCAACAATAATAAAAAGATAAAAAAATGATAAAAACTGATAGAGAAACCACTATAACATTGTCTAACAACTGGATATTTTAATTTTGCTGTTGTTGTTGTTTCTTTTTCTCTGTATTGCACACTGCAGTTGCTTGCTTCCTGTTGCCACATGGCTATGACTTGTGGCATTGGTGATGACTTGTGGCATGTAGTTGTGATAAACAACATACACAGATACTAGACACAAACACACAAATATCTCCCAGCACAGACGACCAACAAGCACTCACATATACACACACACATACACTCCGTATAAATAGTTAATTATAAAATTGTTGTACGAGTATTTTGGCTTGTAAAAGCTTAAATTTTATTTAAAGGATTTACAGGTAAACGAGGTGTTTTGTAGTATTAAATATATTTTTATGCTGCTTAAATCAACTACTACACCAGTTCCAATAGCAAATCATTGAAAAATTGGAAACAAATTGTAAACTAAGGAAACTAACATTAGTTCTAAATGTTTTGTGTTTTAGAATTATATATTCTAAGGGTCTATTTTAAAGAAAGATTCCTCCCAATTTTTCAACAATTCTTAAAAGTCGACTTTAGTTTCGGTAAAGCCA